AACTCTTGATCCTGATGATTTACTTCCGCTAGATGCTATCCTCGATTTCATTGCACATATCTTAATAAATATGATTTAAGAAGAATTTAAGTAGGAAATCAACACTTTTGGACTTTATAAACACAGCTCTACCTAGTTTGCCCGCTTATTTAATAACTAGGATATCTAAACTGTCTTTCTTTAATTCTATAGTGAATTCAGTCATCGTATCCCTTTTATTTATTAATTTAAGGAAGTCTTCCAGACTCTCTTTCCCATGCTACTTAATAGCAAGTAATCACCAATATATATCTGACTTATAGTTTTGAAACTAGGAATGCTTCTTGAAAAAGCGGGACTTATAAGTTAGTTAAAACTGAAAAAAACACGATCCCATAGCTAGACCTATAGTTTACTCTTATAATTTACTATTAAAGGTTAACTATGCACTATTCGTTAATAAGTACATCAATTTCATGAGTGATTGCTTGCTTATCTTATTTTCCAATATAATCTCTGGGTGCTGCTCTGATGTTAATCTTAAATCCTGTATGGCCTTATTTACCGGTATATTTGCGCACATCAGTCCTACATCGAAACTTACGGGCAAATCTTCCAGTTCTAATATTTGATCATTAATAAATTTAAGAAAGTAATAAAGCTTTTCTATTGAAAATTGTCAAAAAACCAGAGATTTGTTTTAATTTGTCACAGATAACTCGTATGTATCTATTACAAGATTCTTTGTAACTAGCTTCCATTCATACCTGTTCGGAAAGATTACAAATTATTTGAACCAGAGTAGATTTCGAAACTATTATTAATGATTAAGTTAAGCCCGAAGTCACTTAAGGGGATTTGATATATGTTAGTTGAGTATTCCTACTATCAGATGTGCAAGTCTTATGATGCCAGTAAATTTACCCTAGCCTTGCCTCCAGATTGGCCATCTCATTCAGGGTTGACGGCAGATTCGATCCCGCTTTAATCTCAGCAGGATCCTCAAAGCGATTCGAAACGTGGTCATGAATATCCTGGAGACACTACCACTCTACTACACGGCCACAAGTGCTGGTGTGCTACAGGTCAGATGCGGCATTCGGAACAGGCCAGGCCTCTTACATTCGTAGTGGGAAAAAATAAGCATGTGCTCACGGTTGCAATCAATGATGTTACTTAATTTCGATATGAGTAAATTTCGAGACTATGATTAAGTCTGGAATAAAGACTGCCGATATGATGATACCGAGAAAACTGGTATTGCTTCATATTCTAAATGTTATATAATCAAAATAGCTTCTTAGAGTTTGGCAATCCAGCCAAATCAGTCTGTTTGGAAGGGAAAGATTAAGACTTCCTTTAATTTCTTTTAGTTTGCTTTAATGCTTAGGAAACTTCTACTCATATCGCTGATGGTGAGAAGTTTTAAAAATACCATTAAGTGTATGAAATACTGTGCTTGGCTTGATCACCAGTAAGTAAAATGGAATTGTAAACTAAGTAGCATGGCAACTAGTTAACACTCTGTTATGTACCTACCGGTTCAAGGGGATAACAGGGCATATTCGACTTTTAAGGCATGTTATGTCCCTTCCAAACCAAATTTATAATTGGATAGTCGATGAGGCAGGCATGTATTTTTGATTATAATCTTCAGTGCTATTTACCTTTGTTATGATTATCTTTAACCGAAACAATTCGAGTAAATGTATGCATTTTACATAATTATGTCCATATGAGGGTTATAATCTATTGAGCAATTAGCATCTGTTTATTTATATGTAAGTGAAAGTGTAAGTTGATAGAGATATTCTGGTATTTTTCGACTATTGTTTTATAACTTTATTCTTGCGTTGAGTTTCAGCCAGAAGTCCCTCCCGGAGACAGTCCAACTGAGCCGGGGAACTCATCTCACAAACTCAGCAAAATTGAAACACTTAGACTTGCCAAAAATTACATAGAACTTTTGAATGAAATCATCCATGGAAACGATTCAGTCCTAGCCACCAGGATGGCTAGCCAACTCAACTGCCATTTTTCGCGGAGCGTGGTTAACCATTTAGGCATAACTCAAAGCAACTTTGTAACAGATCCTCTTGCCTCAAAAACTCTGACAAAGCCACCTCCGAAAATACGAGAAGGTAGTAATATTGTTAGACAGCAGGTATCACACAAGAATCTTTGGTGTTCACAATTTCCGTGGCCTACTCTGAAAGAGCGGGATGAGGAGATCAGTGGCAGAGAGAGGAGAAAGCATCAGTTTAGTGCTTTGCCACAAAATCAGCAGAATCTACGTCATTCAAATGAAGAAAAGAGAGCTACAGTGACTTATAACTTCATAACGAACGGCAGCAATAGCCTTAATCAGAACCGTCATAATTTATCACCATATTTTTCAAACAAAACCAGGAACCTGGTTCCATTTCGAGAATCAGCCCTTTGGAGTGAACAAGCTTGTCCATCCTACTCTTCTACATGTCCGCTAGAAAAAGCAAGCAATACAGAAAACATAACTTATCCATCCTATGAAGCAAGGCACAACACAAATTCATTTTGCAATGATTCGAGAGATAGCACATATCAAATCAGAATTAAAAAATTGGATATAACGCAAAATAAGGCTGAAAGACAGGAACATGATATTTTTCATAGACTTAATGAAGAACCATTCAGCTCACTTAATTCCGAGACCTCGAGCTCCTTCACATTAATAGAAAAAGATCATCACGTCCATCACAGACAGCAGAATAAGGAGGGAGAACCACCAGAGACAAGCGCAATCCCCTTTCGAGAACTGGCAAATTGTACCAAATCGAACGACTTTCAGGCACCTACTGATGATTCCGAATTATGCAGCTTGGCGAATGCGAAGGCCTCAAACAACTCTTATTTATCTAGCATCACTGTTGGATATAATTCTGATGCTTCATATTTCTACCAGAACCAGCCATGCTTTGACGATAAAACTCGTTTTCATAAATACGTCTACAATCGGCCATTTTCTGACGTCAATATGCAAGCTACTTCATTGACAGATACCGAATCTCCCGCTAATTCTTTGCTACCATACCAATGTTCACCAAATTTTCCACTCACTTACTCATCTTCGACTGTGCATAGCCTCATTAATGCCCATACCTATACGAATCACTATGCCTAAAAAAAGCATTTTATTTTTCCTATAATAAAATCGTACTTATATACATAATTTCGTCATTTTTATCAGATGCCGAAATGTTTGGCCCTAAAATATTAATAGATTTGATGTGGTAACTTACATATCAACGACTCGAATAATTGATCTCTGGTTCTTCCAACCGATTACTTAAGTTCGGCTTAAACTCTTGTGTCTTGATCAAACAACATTCCTTAAATTTATCTATTAGTAAATTAGAAACCTAATTTGATGTTGAAGAATTCATCGAGCATATCTATACATTCATTTTTTAGCGTATGGGAGAAAAAGTATTCATTGAATACTAAGAAATATGTGAGTAAATCTACTCACGATGTTCATAATTAAGCAGTTTAATTTCACAATTAACTAAAATCCATCATGCATTCCAGCTTATTGGTATGATAATAGTCCAAAACCATGTTTTTATTGGATGAGAATGAGGTCAATTCTTAACTTACTAATGGCGCAGTTTCATCCTTAGACAAGGATATAGGGCTGGAAAATATGGGTTTCAGATTTTTAAAATATTTACTTAAGTTTCAGAGATATTGCCTCAAGAAAGACGGATATTAAATAATAGTTGGGAATTTGTGTCTAAATTCCATTGGACCTGTAAAAGATAGAATATGAGCTAGAATTTAACTTTGTTTTGGACCTATTATAGGGATAACCTTATATTTTCAATTAAGAAATTTATAAGAAAAGATTTCGAAGGCAGTGTCTTACTACTTTATTATTTTTCCTCCAACAAAAGACAGTTGACATCTTACCTTTGCGGTTGTTTCTGATTTTTTTAGAGTCTGCATCCAGAATGTGGTTAGTGAAACTAAGTAGATAAGCTAGCAGAAAGTTAAGCACCAATCCCGTCCAATTAATGTTTTAGCAAAGTTTAACGATAGGTCTTGCTCTCTCAGGCGAAAATAAACTATCCACAGGAATACTTAGCCCTCCCCCTTTTTCAGTAGCTATATTATAGGAATGCAAATTGACTGTTTTCAGATAGTAGAATTGAAACTACAAACTTAGTTACTTGAGAGTTCACTTTTAGGATGGATAATAGGAAAGAGCCCGTAGTAATCTCATTCAAAAAGATAAAAATGCAAAACATTTTATCTAGAGTGCGATTAACCTGATATCATTTAAAATTATATTAGAGGAAATATTTTGAATCAGAGCTAATCTAACCACCTTGATGCAAAGAAAAACTTATCGAAACTCAATAGATTTGTGATATGCTTCAACTTATGCTAAACTTTACATAAATCCATTTATCTAGGCATTTTTTGGTACAATTTGATGATATAATTATATATTAATGCATGTATGTAATCAGACAAGTTAGGTGAAACAATGATGAAAAACATGGTCTCGAATAAATTCCTTGTGAAATATTGCATTTGTAAGGAAAATTTGGTTGGAAGGAAGTGGATATATGGTCTAACAGATAAATGAAGGAGAATTGCAGCGTAAGGAAGATTATTATGGTATGCAAAGAAGTCCTCGGCTCACCGTCCTCTACCAGGAAGAACATGCGCTCTTTTCATCTGTACTGGGACTATCATAATAAGAGCAAGAATACAGACTTTACGAAATAGAATAAAAATATGAGATGTATTCACCATATTTCGTTTAAGGTGATAAAGGACTGTTAGTAGAATTTTCCCACAATGCTATGAGTAGAGCTTAAGCTTCTATTTAATTTCACATAGCCTTGCTTTCCCAAGAGTTGTTCTTGTCCAGAGTGGACTGCAGTTCAGACCTCGTATAGGTTTTATCAATATCTACAGCGGAAGTCAAACCTCGAAAGTGCAGCGTGTGAGCTTGAGAACTTAATCACTCGGCCAAATTGTTACGATGCCCTTGTCTCACAGAGCAGATGTGAATTCCTAGGAAGGCCAGACCTTTTCCCATATCACATTCTTCGGTGGGATTGTCGATGAAACAAACTTAGTTTTGCTATAAAAATCGACTATATTACTTATTTTTCGTAGATAAGTAGAGTTTCGAGACAACCGGTAAATCTTATGTATGATGCATTCATCCCAATCCGATAGATGCCTAGAACGTTACAAGCAGTTTTATTTTCGCATAGTATCTTATAAATCGGTCCGCAGGTCTCCCCCACATAGACTTTATCACATATGTACAAAACCATGTAGCTACGGGATCTAGAAAGAGGGCCTGAATATGCTATAGACGAAAGAATTGCTGAAGAAAATGTTAATTTCTTTTTTTTTGGAACATTGTTTATATGCTTCACTTTCTCAGTTGATTACCCGATTTTTCTGTATGCTGACAGGATGGCAAAATCAGTAACCGAGTAGAATTGCCCAATTGTCTATCCCGCCCCAGAGCTCAAACTCCCCCCATCATGTTACTGACGAGGAATGTGTAATTGTCTACTAATCCTAACGGGTACTTGGTATGAAACAGTATATTCCTCAATCTACCAATCTCCTGGTCCGTGTGGTTTACATCTGCTAGACTCAGACTCCCTATTAAAATAGACTTCATAACTTCTATTTTGACTCTATATGTGTGGTTGGAGAAGAAATTAATAAAGAAATCAGCGTTAGTAGGTTTCCTATATACGTCTCTTTCTGAATTATTACCTACTTTACTCAATAATACATCCAAGAAAGACCATTTATTTTCCTTTTCTAACTCTATGGTAAACTCAACATTTGCATCTACTCTATTTATTTGCTCAAGGAATTCTCCCAAACTAGCTTCGCTGTGTTGCCAAACAGCAAAGGAATCGTCCATATTACGAAGTAATAATTTGGGAACTAAGAGTGTCTGATGAAATACATGGATTTCTAATTGGGCCTTGTAGTTATTAGCTAAATTAGGGGCTAAAAATGCCATAGCTAAGTCCCGTATCTGCTCATACAACTTGTCATTATAGGTAAAATACGTATTATTTAATGGCAAATTGAATAATCTAATGATAGAATCCTAGCACTAATTTTTTCAGTTATTATTTCAGGGTGTAATCTAGAGTTAATTCTAAAGTCTTCATCGTCTCATTTATCGGAATGTTAGTGAAAATAGTCACTACAGTCGTCTGATTATCAATTAACTAAAGAATGTCGTAGGTGTTTTTTAATGTAAACTTCCGAGTTTCGGAGATTTGCCTTAACTAAGTACATATAAATCGTGATGTTTTATGCATTACGCTACTTCTATTATTTACAATAATCGTAAGTGTAGTACCTTGCTTACGGATTTTGCGCAGAATATACACATTTGAGAGTTTACTATTATAGAAGTACGTACTGTTTTCATTCTTTTCGGAATTCGTCATGATATATAAAAAACAAGAAATCGTTTCCCAGAGAAGTCAATCATATTCGTCTTTTAGATTATGCTCTATCCGTAGAATTATACCTATATTATATAATAATTCTAGACCTAATTTACTTTGGAAGACCAAGGCGAATCTTTTGGACGTATGCAATAATTTTGTTGATATTGTATTAAATGTATTCACCATATTTCGTTTAAGACGATGAAGGACTGGTAATACAATATATGAGATGTATTCTACTACCAGTCTTAAATCAGTCTAACTGAAATAGGGTGAATTCATCTCATATAACTGATTTACTGGTAGTTTCGAAACTCTACTTATATACGATAAAAAAGTACTATAGTCGATTGTTATAGCAAACATACGTTTGCTTCATCGGCAATCCCACCAAAGAATGTGATATGGGAAAAGGTCCGGCCTTCCTTGAAATTTCTATCTGACCTGTGATCCAAGGGCACCCGTAACAATGCAGAATAGTGATTAACGTTCCAAGCTCACATGCTGCACTTTCGAGGTTCGACTCCCACTGGGAGTGTTGATAAGACCTATGTGAGGTAAAAACTGCAGACCACCCTGGATGAGAACAACTCTTGTAAAGCAGGGATATATGCAATTCAATCGAAACGTCAGCTTTACTCATATTATTGTGGGAAAATTCGATTACCAGTCCTTCATCGCCCTAAATGAAATATAGTGAATACATTTAATATAATATCAACAAAATTATGGCATACGTCCAAAAGATTTATCTTAGTCTTCCAAAGTAAATAAGGTCTAGAATTATTATAAAATATAGGTATAATTCTACGGGTAGAACATAATATAAAAGACGAACGTGATTGACCTGTCTCGGCAACAATTTCTTGTTTTTTATATGTAATGACGAATTCCGAAAAGAATGAAAACAGTACGTACTTCTTTGATGGTAAACTCTCAAATGTGTATATTCTGCGCAAAATCCGTAAGCAAGGTACTCCACTTACGATTATTATAAATAATAGAAGTAGCGTGATGCATAAAACATCATGATTTATATGTACTCAGTTAAAACAAGTACCTATTAGGATTAGTTAACAATTACATATCAGTTGTCAGTAAAAAGATCGGCGGAGTTTGCGCTCTGGGGTGGGATTTAAAATTGAGTAATTCTACTCGATTCCTGATGTTGCCATCCTGTCAACATGCGAAAAAGTTGGGTAATCTATTGAGAGATTGGAACATAAAAACATTGTTCCAAATAAAGAGAAATTCACTCTTTCTTCTGTAGTTCCTTCGTCTAGAGCATATTCAGACCCTCTCTCTAGATCCGGCTGCAACATTGTTTTGTACTTATGTGGTAAGGTCTATGTGGGGGATATCAGCCGACCGATTCAGAAGATACTATGCGAACACAAAACTGTTTGTAAATAT